AAAACACACACACACACACACACACACACACACACACACACACACACACAAATAAAAATCAAATGAATTTTATAAAAGAAAGTGTGAATTTGTGGAAAGTCTCTTGAACTTCAGAAGTTAAACATTTTCAAGATTCTGCTACAATGTGATTTTTTAATGGCTGATTAAATTTCCTTTATGATATGAACCGTAATTTATTAAAGTAATCTTTACCTGTAAGATATTTAAATTGTTTCTTCACATATCTAGAAGGTTTTTTTATGGTTGACATAGTCAAGTACTAACATATACATACAAATGTTAATATGCACACTTACATTTGAACTCAGAAATCATTTACCTGGTTAAAATCCCCATTAATCTAAGAGTCCCCACGCCTATGTCTAGAGACAGTCAGGCCTCACAATGGCATGGGAGTGTTCCTTCTGAGTTGAGTAGATGTGTTTGGATTATTATTTTATGTGACTAGATATGCTGACGTTTGCTAGGTCTGTGCATTTTCTGAATAGTGTTCTGCATACTGCTGTTGTCCTCATGGCCATGAAAGCAGCAAGTACAGTGACTCCAAGTTTGAAAATTACTAAGCAAGGTGAAGTTAGGCAGACTTTTTTTTTTTTTTTTTTTTTTTTTTTTTTTTTTTTGTGTAGTTTTGGAGCCTATCCTGGCACTCACTCTGGAGACCAGCTGGCCTCGAACTCACAGAGATCTGCCTGCCTCTGCCTCCTGAGCGCTGGGATTAAAGGCGTGTGCCACCATCGCCCAGCTAGGCAGACTTTTATAGAAGGAAATCACATTTATGAAAACAATCCCACTTACTGGTTTATAGGCTTTCTCACATAGTGGAAAGACAGTGGTTTGCTGTGATAAGTATGGTACAAGTGAAGGGCCTGCCATGCTTTAACTCTGTAATTAGTCCTCAAATGATTTTAAGTATTTGAAAGGCAAGCTATTCTGGCAATTCATCTCAACTTCATTTTATTTGGATCTGATTGCTGTGAAAATTGCCTGGGTTAAAAGTCTTTTTTTTTTTTTTTTCTTTCCCCTTAAGTGAAGCCTGATCCACCATTAGGCTTGCATATGGAAATCACAGATGATGGTAATTTAAAGATTTCTTGGGATAGTCCAACGGAGGCACTGTTTCCACTTCAATATCAAGTCAAATATTCAGAGAATACTACAGTTATAAGAGAGGTAAGTGTATTTTAGTAAAGAAAGTGAAATTTTGAGAAGCAATTAAAGAAACCTAAGTCTCCTAGAAATTACCCTTGCCTGCTAAATATGTCTGTGCTTTCTAGAGAGGATTGGATTATTTTGAATATTACATATTGAGATAATTTATAGACTCTACAGGAAATCCAGTTAAAAAATTTTAACATAACTTTTTTCATCTGTGTTCTTACTTGTTCATTGCTTAGTGTATTTACACACAGTGTGCATTTGTGCTGTGAAGTCAATCAGCATCCTCTTTCCATTGTGATAAAGTGTTTTCTGAGTGCCTATTGGTTGCCAGGAGCTATTCTAGATACAGCAAGATAAATTGTGATCAAAGAGGATGGGGAAAGATTGTAAGTGGAGGTTGGGGCATGCCTCATTAGGAGGGTGATATTTGAGCAAGGATTTGGAGGAGATGGCTCTGTTGGTATCTGGGGACCTGGATGCCAAGTAGGTGGAATAGCAGTGAAGAAAGCCAGTGTGACTGAGGCTGACAGTGAAAACTTCTGTGGCAGTAGACAGGAGTGGGTGGGGAGTAGGAGGTCACGAATGGCCTGTGGGGTCACATGAATGCATTCATAGCACAGAGTGAACCTAAGTGTTGCATCATTCCAAGGTAGAAATTGATCTTTTTAGAACTGTTACTTTTCTGAGGCCTTATTTTTGCAGAGAGAAGTTTGGGAACCCTTGATGTCCGGTGTGTTCATGCAGAGTTAAGGCTGCCATGAGTTACTTCCTCGTTAGCAAGTCAGAAATCACAGGACTGTACATATAAAGGTTCTGATATTGTTCTAGCATTAGTAAATCGGTAATCATAGGACTATAAAAGTGAAAGTCCTGATGTTGTTCTAGGCATGCCTTATGCTTTTCGTGATCTTTAACCTATGACCCCTTTCTTCCTCTCCCAGCCTTGAAGAGAGCAGGGAGTTCAACTGAAGCACATTATTGGAAAACCCAATGTACTGCACAAGCAGATCCTAGCTAGAGTTTGTTTTTTACAGGGTTTGGCTTTAGATGTCTTCCCTCCCTTCCGGTGTGGTGACTCATGCCCTGTAGTTCAGGGTCAGGATGTAGCCACCAGGGCCAGGATATCAGTATCCTTCATGTCCTTCTTTTTGTGCAGCTTTCCTCTCTAGGACCCTTACAGCCCCCTCTACACCTCTGTACATTGTTTTCTACCAGATGTGCGATGGATGGCAAAATGGCTACAAAATTCCCAATAACTTTGGCACCATTTCTCAAAAATCCTAAAGACCATATTGGCACTAGTATTCAGTTAATACTCATTAATTGTCACAATTATTTGATCTACAGGCTCTTTAATTTTTTATTGACAGTTACATTTGTTTTTCATTTGGTCATTGATTACTGTTTTAATTCTGTGGCCAGACGGTTCATCTGTAAGATTTATACTTCTTGGAGATTTGCCGAGGCTTACTTACCAGTTTTGGCAAACGTTCCTCACCAACTTGATGCTCTGATGTTTCAACATAACCTTTAACAGGCTGCTGAAGTTGTCTCAGCTCCATCCCTGCTGCTACACAGTGTGCTGCCTGGGTCTTCATATGAGGTTCAGGTGAGAACCAAGAGACTGGACGGCTCAGGAGTCTGGAGTGACTGGAGTTTGCCTCGAGTCTTTACCACACAAGGTAGGCCTTGTAAAAGTTTCTCTGGAAACATTCTCCCAGACTTTGGCTTCCTCCCATCAGCATATCATGGGCATATTCAATTTGTATTTCCCCCAGCAAGAGGGGGGAATAATATTAACATTTTATTTAGAGCTCTTTTTGGAGACAAGGTCTGTGTATATAGCTTAGGCTGATCTTAAATGCTGGAATTATAGACATGCATGCTTGTGCCTTGCTACATTTTACTCAAATCTTGAGCAGGCTAATTTGTTATTGCACCTGAATTCTTATGTATTTGCTTCCAAAACACCCTCTTATGGAGTTGTTTTTTTTTTAGTATCAGAAAGAGAAATATTTAAGCTGGGCATGGTGGCCCATGCCTATGAATTCCAGGATTCTGGAGCATGAGGATTATGAGTTTGAGGCCAGCCTGGACTACATAGCAGAATACTCCAAAGACATAAAAAGAAAATAATGTGAAATTTAATTTCCACTCTAAAAACCTAGTAGGGAATACCACTTATGTTGTTTAATGTATGTTTAGAATCCAAGTGTATTCATTTGAGATAGACATGTCAAACGCTTACTTTTAGAGGTGTGTGTGCACACATAAGTGTGTGTGTGTGTGTGTGGGGGTGCTTACAGAGGTCAGAGGTCAACTTTGGCTCTCTTTTTCTACCTTCGCCTTATTATTTGAGACAGGCTCTCTTCCTGAGCCTGGAGCTTGCTGATTCAGCTGTGCTAGCTGGCTGGGCAAACCCCTAGCATCCTTCTGTCACTGCTTCCCAGTGCTGAGATCACAGACTGTGCTCAGCTTTTGATGTGGTGCTGGGGATCTGAATTCAGGTTCTCAGGCTGCTGCTGCAAGCACTGCACTTACCAGGTCATCTCACTGCTTTTGGAATTTTCTGAGTCGAGTCTTCATACCTTCAGAGTTTTTTGTTGTTGCTGCTGCTCTGTGTATTTTTATTAGCTATTATTAATACAGGGAGAGGGGACGAAGAGCTCACAGGCAACACACAATTTCATGAAATGCATTACAGGGGAAAGAGAGTCTTGATGCATATATTCCTGAAAAGGATGGACCTCTAATTCCTGGTAGAGGGCATTTATACATGAAGACAGGCATGCATATCAGTGTTCCTTGATTAGGGAGCAGGTCAGTCGGTGGGACTAAAAGTGATCTCAAACCAGGTAGAGGAGCTACAGTTCCTAGAGGTGGGGCTTCAGGTAGGGATGGAGTGACCTGTGCTGGAGGGTGCTGGGGCTCCAGCAGTGCTGGAGCAGCAACAGCAGAGGCTGCTACAGTGTCTCTTACTTGTGCAGTCATCACCTGCTGGGATGGGCTCCAGCCACTTGGACAGGACCAGGTGATCCAGCAAGGGTCTGGGGATCAGGAACACCAGGTGCCCTTCTAACCCCAGGACCTCTTGTAGTGCTACCAAATAGCATCCGAGCAGTGCTAGTATCTTTAGAGTGGCCCCTCCACAAGAGTGGATACCATATTTTCCCTATGCATTGACACCAGACCCTAAAACTGTGTGTGTGTGTGTGTGTGTGTGTGTGTGTGTGTGTGTGTGTGTGTGTGTTTTCCTTTCTCCCCTAACTCTGGCTATTTTGTTCAAACTTTGGTTTGAATCCTAGATTCATCATAACTCAGAGGATCAAATTTGTATTCATCTCAAAAGCCTTCAAGGTGTCAGTAAAGATGCAGCCATTTTGCCGGATACATCTCATTCTGTAGTCAGTGTGCTGCAATGTCTTGTGATTGTTTCCCATAGACTTGATTGCTCTTCCACTGTATATAGTGTCAGCAGTACAAAATGGATTTTATTCCTACATCAGGTTTTCCTACCAATAATGCAAGCTTGGTAGAAACTTTTCAAACTGTGGGTGGTTCCTGTTCTTTTCTTGGAGTCAGTTGCCCTGATACTCATAAGTGTTCCAACGACATGTTGGTATCAGCTAAGAATGCCCAATACAGCTCTGCCTGGAAATCCACCCTAGAGCTTCTTACTTCTGAGAACACTGTGGGCTCAGCTGACACTCTTGGATGCTCACTGAGGCTGTCCTGCATTTGACCTGGACTTCTACCTCTGGCACATGCGATGCAGCAGTCCTTTATAGGTGTGAGCGACCTCCTGGGCTCTCCATCTGGCTGCAGTGACTCATGTGTGTCTGGCATCCAGCCACCTCTCAAGGTTATTTTTAACATCAGAGAAACTGCAGTTTATTTACAGGTTCCTCAGGGAGGTGAGATGCAGCATCAGAGCCCTGAGAACCTTGTGCCATTTCCATCCCTGCCACCGTTGAGTTGTGACTTTAGGAAGACACTTAATTTTCCCTTGGTCGTCTGCCTACTCAGTTTTACTGTGGTTACCCAGAAATGGCAATGTCAAATACTGAGCACAGTTCATCTGCATCATTCAACAGATTCCCTTATCGATTACTTCGTATTGAAGGAGTGTTAATTAGTTAGAAAGCAAGTTGCATCAGTGTCTTAGAAGCATTGATTTTGGAGTCTGCCAGTTTATACAATGGCCATAATTATGATTTCTTTGGAGAGGTTCTTAACCTTTCTGTGCCTCAGTTTCCTTGTCTGTAACATCAAGATGTTTTTATGTGGATGGTTTTTATATAGTGAAATAACACAATGAAGTGCGTATTACAGCATCTGACTCCTAACAGGAGTGACAATCTGATACTATTTTTGTTTATGAATTCGAAGCCAATCTGTTCAGAATCCCAAGATCTAAAGAGATAGGAGGATCTCTTTAGATTGCATGGCACAAAGTAAGATCGCTCGAGAGAGCTAAACCAAGTTTTAAATAATTAGTTCAGCCTGGGAGACTCAGGGACCTGGCATGAGGAGATTTAGATGGTGATGTTATATCTTTATTCCTCAGATAACTTTCTACTGTCCCCATGTGTGTGATCAGAGTCTGATAATTCAGCTTCTGAATTTTTTGGTTGGTTCCTAAGGGAAACTGAATCTTCTATTATCGGGTCTTACTGACTAGCTGTGCTTTAGGAATCCCATGGGAGGAAGGAAAACCACAGTATCCCAGGTGGAGGCTTCTATGTGGTGCTGTGGGGTCAGGTCGGGAGGGAAGAGGGAAGCTGTGCAGAGGAAATAGAAGGCCCCCATGCCTACCTACACTGAAAGCCTGTCTTTATTAACCACTGGGCAATGTGCTTAGCCTCCATGGAAAGATGTTTCTTTCTTATCTTACTTCATAATTAAAATTTAAAACTTCCCCTTCAAGGAAAAGAGGCAGCGCTAAAAGAATCAATGTTGTTTTTCCAAGTTTGCTAAGATTCAAGACTGAATATAAATGCTTTTTAGAAACTCTGTATGATATACTGGTTTGTTGCATTTTGCCAAATATTTGATCTCCTTCAATTTAGGTCTTTAGATGGATATGCTTTTAGTTCTGTTTTTCTTTACAATGCATGTCTATCTGTAAGTTTATATTTGCTTGGTTTTTCAAATGCCAGCTCATATTTTGCATTCTTATATGAGATAGCTATGTGGAGGTCCCTGCAGGTGTCACACAGGGAAGTGAATTGCACACAAAGAGATAAGAATAAAAATCCAGTGATTGACTTTGTCAACCTGGATCAGACTTTGGGGCATCTAATACCAGGTGGTTCGTTGTCAGCATATTTAAAACAGTACAGTTTGGGAAAAGGCTTCCAGGCAACAATAATTCCAATTCCAGGTGCACAATAAAGCTTAAGATGTGGCTTCATAGAGACTCTTTACAAAATATGTGTGACCATGGGTGTGAGGGCCTAGAATCTAGTGTGGTCTCTGATCGGTGGCATAGAGGTCAGTAGGCCATAAAGTACTCAGACATATCCCCTAAGGATGGATAATGGTTAGGAAAAATCAGTCTGGGGAATTAGGGTGAGGTCTGTCCTTTCAGATAGCAAAAGGGTCAACAGGTTGTTAGGAACCTCCACGCTCAGCTTTCTGGATAGAATGAGGAGACACCCTTGTGTGATTAACTCTCCTGGTTCTCTTACACACACACACACACACACACACACACACACACACACACACACACACACACACCACTTTATCAATTAGCTTGTGCAACAGTCAATCATACAACTATCAATAGCTACATGCTTATTTTTCACTCAGGTGTATCTCTAGATTTCAGACATTCTGAACAGAAAACTATGAGGGGAAAAGTGAGTAAATAGCCACCTTCTAGTCAAAACTCCCTCCTTTAACTTAAGTTTAAAGGATGAAAATTTTATTTTTGCTCATACTTGAGGTTTTAATCTTTTAGGTTTTTAACCCTGTTGCTTTGAGCCTGTGCTAACACAGTACATCAGCAGTGGGATCCTGCAGGAGAAGAGATCTATTCAACTCACCACTGCCAGAAAGCAAAGAGATGAAGAAGGAGACTGGGTCCCAATGTCCCTATCAAGGGCACACTCTAAATGACCTGGCTCCTTCCACTGGACTGTCCCTCATGAAGGTTTTATAGATCCCAATAGCAGCACAGGTTGGTGTCCCAGCCTTTAGCTTATGGGCCTTTGGAGACGTTTAAAGATCATTGCCTGACAATCTCAGATGGCTTAGCTGCCTCTGAGGGCTAGTAGGTGAAGATTAAGAAAAAGAAACTTGGGGCTGGAGAGATGGCTCAGGAGTTAAGAACACTGGCTGTTCTTCCAGAGGTCCGGGGTTCAATTCCTAGCACCCACATGGCAGCTCACAACTGTCTATAACTCCAGTTCCAGGGAATCTGGCACCCTCAAAAAGACATACATGCAGGCAAAACACCTATACACATGAAATAAAATTTTTTAAAAAAGAAATTCACTATGTAAGAAACAAACTAAGACACTTGCAGTGGGAACAAAAACTAGTTCACTTAAGTAGTTCCCCTAAATATTTCTCTTTACAATATCATCCACTGTGTTGACATAATGGCTGGTGATGTGTGCTGAATCACAAATAATCTACGTAAGCAGGTTCCATGTTTTTCCTTTAAAGAAAATTCAGCACATCTGCTCCTAGAATGAAAAGTCCATTTTCTGGGCCTGGGATAAACACATTGTGAAAGAACTTTACCTAAAAATGGTCTCTATTCTTTTACCTAAAAATGGTCTATATTATTTTGAGTAATTGATAACATTAATATTGTCACTAGAAGATTTCCATTTTAATAAAATTCGTTAATTTTTAGCCATATAAAGAAAGTCATAACTGTCTTATTCCTCAAACTAAATTTTGCATAATACTTTTTAGGATGGTATTTGTGCTCTTTGGAAAATTAAGTATTCAGCATTTATTTCATATGTTTCATCAAGTTTTAGTATAGATTTATATATTGTCGCTTTTTATCTTCGGGTTAAAGCCTAGATTTAAGCATTTAATTAGTCACAAACCATATACATTTTAACTTTATTTCTCAATTAGACCTCACCAGGTGCATTTACTGTTGAACTAAAATACCTTGAAGTTTTAAAAACAATCTGTGAATGAAGAGCCTGAATTTATGACAGTTACTGTGTACATTTTTAGAAAATAAGAGTAACTCTGAGGTGTTGAGACAGTTCAGTGGTGAGGCTGTGGAGCACATCGAGTGTGTGACAGGCACAGGTCAGCAGTGAGTTCCATCCATGGGAAGGCTGCATGTCCTCCAGGCTGGGATTTTGCTGAGTCACGCCCATACTCTAGTGCTTCTGCCCAGTGCTATCCTACTTCTGTTTACTATAGATACACTCAGTGCAAATATCCAATGTGGGCGGTACATCCAAAACCATAGCAGTAAATTTAGCATATTACAGGGCCAACTATCCATTGCTTTACCTATTTATTAGAAACTTTCCTAAGTATGAAAAAACCAATAGCAACAACCTGCGTTCTGTCAAGACTTTGTATCTAGTGATCTGTGCTAAGAACACATGCTATGTTTCACTGATTCTCTTAATATTTTAAAATTGCATTTATTTTGCATGCACATATGTGCCATGATGTGCATGTTGAGATCAGAGAACAACTTGTAGGAGTCAATTCTTTCATTCTGTCTTGTCAGTCTTAGGGATTGAACTCAGGTCATTGGACTTTGTGGCAAGTACTTTTACCTTCTAAGCCATTTTACTGGCCCTTCTTTTTTCTTTAACATTCTTTTATTTACTTATTTTTGTATTTTCCCACATGTGTGCATTCAAATTTAGTAGTCTGGTAGGAAACGAATTGTTGTGGAAATAAATGATGTTCCATTTAGTTAATTTTGACTGTCACTTGGAAAATGGCAGTTGCTAATAGGCACAGTTTAGAAGCTTGTCATGATGTTCATGGAGGCTCTGTTTATTTGAGAGCAGGGAGTACTGGGGCTGTAAAGGGCTGTCCACAGCACAACCAGTTTCTCGGTGCACTTATTTGATGTTGGCAGGGTAGCTAGGGATGTGGGAATCTCTTTGCTGTGGTACAGGCTGCTCACATGATGGTTTCTGTTTCCAGCTGAATGCCCACCTTTCTTTCTGTGTTACAGATGTCATATACTTTCCACCCAAAATTCTGACAAGTGTTGGCTCGAACGCTTCCTTCCATTGCATCTACAAAAAGGAAAACCAAATAATTTCCTCAAAACAGATAGTTTGGTGGATGAATCTAGCTGAGAAAATCCCTGAAATCCAGTATAGTGCTGTGAATGACCATGTTAGCAAAGTTATGTTTTCCAACTTGAAAGCCACCAGAACTCGGGGGAAGTTTGCCTACGATGCAGTGTACTGCTGCAGTGGGCAGGAGTGCCATCATCGCTACGCTGAGTTATATGTGATTGGTAAGAATCCCAAGGCCTTGTTCATTCTGTCCCACAAGATCACTTGTCACGGACTGTGTTAGAGTCCTATTAAAGATGTAAAGAAAATGCTTTTCATGGTGTTTGTACTTTATATTAATATTTTAATGTGTTTTAAATAGATGTCAATATCAATATATCATGTGAAACTGATGGGTACTTAACTAAAATGACTTGCAGATGGTCACCCAGCACAATCCAATCACTTGTGGGAAGCACTGTGCAGTTGAGGTATCACAGGTATGTATAGTGCTTCCTTCTTTGTTTTCCCCTGGGCACGGCACAGTTAAACTTTCCTTTAATCTATTACTATAGCAGAAATATGGTGATGGGAGATGTCCTTCTGAATGCTGTGAATATAAGTTTCTTTTATTGGCTGATGAATAAGGCTGTTTTGGCCAATGGACAGGCAGGATGTAGCCAGGCAAGAAATATAGTCAGGGCTACCAGACTAGGAGGATTCCTGGAGAGGAACGCAGAGAGTGAGTCTCAAAAGAGATGCTATGTAGCTACCAGAAAGATAGGATGATGTGTGGGCATTCTCCGGTAAGCCAAGACCACGTAGAGATACACAGATTAATAGAAATGGGTTAATAATTAAGAGAGAGCTAGTTAATAAGAAGTCTGAGTCATCTGCCAAACAATTTATAACTGTGTGTTTATTTGGGACTGAACGGCTGTAGGACCAGGTGGGACAGAAACCTCTGTCAACAATCTGGCACATTTTTCTCCCTGAGCAGAGATTTGAATACACCCTCCCTGGGGAGTGGATGGGGGATGGGATGGGGGGTTCGTTGGGGGGCATGGGAGGATGGGAGGGAGAGGGAACTGGGATTGATTTTTAAAATAAGATTGTTTCTAATTTAAATAAAATTGATATAAAAAAGAAAACTTGTAAGGAATTACATAAATTATATTGTTTTAACCTCATATTATCATGTTTGCCAACTGTTTCCTGGGATTGCATTTTGACTCTTGAGTGACATGCAAGGAAGGCAAGAGACTTATTCCCTATGCAGTGTATTTGGGTGCAGTAAATGAGCTAAATAGGCTTTGCAAAAAAGTTGAATGTCATTTGGCCAAAGGTCAGTATTTTAGTAAAAAGGCAAAGGGACCAGATTCTACAAGATGTGACTTTTTTAGAATGAAGTGAATTAAGTTGGGAAGCAAACAGTAGTTAATGAGGGGTAATATGTTCTATTAAAGAGAATTGTGTGCTTATTTATTTTTACATTTCTTTGTATAAAATTTAAGACATCTCCATATAGTATTTCCCTTGTCTTGACAAAGTATGTGTCCTAAAATGAATCTCGCTATTGAGAAGAAAAACCCCTCCTTGTTTTTAAAGGATCCCGTGGTAGTCATCCAGTATGTTTACTACTCTTAAACTCTATGTTCTGATATTTAAATTTGTGTTGGAGAATCTTGGTTTGTACAGTGTGAAAAATTTTTATTTTTTAATTTTTATTTTTTATTTTTTAAATTTTTTAAAAATGTGAAAAAAATTTTAAATCTAAAATTTCAACTTGAAAAAACATATCTCTTCTCTCAAGTCCTGTGATCTGAACTCTGTCCCTCATGTTTAGTGTTGACTCTTCTGCAGTCCTGAAGAAAAAAAATAACAATCTGCATTTCTTAAATGGGAAAAAATTATTGCCTTTATCCTATGTGCTATGAATATTTTTAAATCAATTGAAAGTCTGTGATAGGCTGTTTTAATTATATATGTCTTTCCATGTGTTTCCGCATGCAAATATATGTTTGCTGAAGACCATTTTATAAGCCCTATGGCTCATTTAACATCCTAACATTCACAGGGTCATCATATAACCAACTATGAATACTTAGTGAGGTTTTGAGCCTCCCACGTGTTAATTTCCTTGTCTGTACGTGGAAAAAATGGTAGGATTCATATGGTTTCTAGGGCAATTAATGGCATTTCATTTCATTGGAATTAAGTAATAGTGTCTCCTAGGAAACATTCCAATGGAGTAATCAATAAATGGTTATTCCTTCATGATGATGAAGCTAATCATTCCAAGTTAGACCTTCACCACTGTGTTTCTGCACTGCTATTTTCTATCCTCTGTCATTGTATTTCTCACTCACCATTAATAATCTGAACACACACACTGATAACCTTGAGGAGAAAATACAAAGATTTTAGTGTTTTCATTTTCTTTCTCATTTTCATCCCTGTAGAGAGAGTAGTCAGAACTTTTAGTCACTTAAACACCGTTTTAGGAGCAAACAGTGTCAGAAGAACCATTTCAAAGAGAAGAAACACTTTGTTTTCTGTGAGGAAGTAGGTTGGTTGAAACTCCTAATGTTTAAAATAATTCATTTCTGAGAAAATTAGTAATATATTTCATTACCATTCATGTATGGATCAGGATTTGGTGTTATTTTAATTACATCAGTTTGGTGTAGAAAGTGTTAGGGCACTGTCAATCAAGTCAAATATACTCACTTTTTGTTGGAATTTAATCCACTGTTTAAGGCAAAAAAGAATCTGCTTTCCCCCCACCCCAGGAGTACCCCCAGCCCTACTTTTGATCCTTCTGCTACAATTGTGTCACTGATGCAAGCCTCTAGTATGGGGTCCCTTCCCTTAAGAAAACCTGTATTTCAAAAAAAAAAAAAAAAAAACAAAAACTTAACATTTTGATCAACAACTTACATTTTGATTCATAACAGTAGCAAAATTACAGTTATGAACTAGCAATAAAATAATGTTATGGTTGGGGGATTACCACAACATGAAAGACTGTTTTAAAGGGTCGAAGCACTAGGAAGGCTGAGAACACTGGGCTAGTGTGACCATTGCAGTCCTGCAGCTCTGTTGCTAATTTGCCTTCTTGTCTGCTCTTTCCATTGCTTTTACTACTCATTGCCTATCCAATGTTTTTATAGTTACTGTTTCTGTGGAAAGAATAAGATCTGGAGAGAGCTAGGAGCTCAAGAGTGCCTTCCTGATAAAAACATCAATTTTTAGACACAGAACACTGTCTTTTTTGAATAACAAATCTGAGTTCTAAAATGTCTTCTTCCTCTTATTAGTACTGCGTATTAACTGGCTATTTTTTTCAAATGTCTTTTAAGGAGCAGCTTGTATTGTTCCGATAGCCCATCTATTCACCCTGCATCTGAGCCCAAAAGCTGCGTCTTGCAGAGGGATGGCTTTTATGAATGTGTTTTCCAGCCAATCTTTCTATTATCTGGCTACACAATGTGGATCAGGATCAACCATTCTTTAGGTTCACTTGAGTCTCCACCAACGTGTGTCCTTCCTGACTCTGTAGGTACGTCACATGGTGTTGTGTATTTTCATTAGATTTGGATGCCATTTTCTACTCACACTGGATTTTGAAGGAAAAAAAATGATTTTGTTTATGGAGGAATTTAACAATTGGCCTTAGGAAGCTTTCTAGTTTTGAGTTTTTATTGCTATTTTGAGTTTATTTTTTATATTACTTGTAGCATGATTGTTTATAAATATGGATAATAGAGTTATAACAGTTGGATATTTCCACTGTTTCCACTTGATGAGTTGCATGTGTCATTGTGAGTGCAATTTTATGAGGTTTTCATAAAATATAAAGTATCCCTCCAGTGTAATTCTAAAAGCATTTGCTATTTTAATCTGAAAGTTTCATTTGAGTAATCTAAAGGCTTTATAAGCTGAGTAATAATATTTCAAGACTTTAATTTGTAAGGCTGGGTAAGAGGCATTTGAAATGTTAAATAAAGGAAGTGAACACAATAGACAAAGATGATGAGATCTGTAATAATATTCACAGATTTTAACAAGTATCTTGAGATACTTGAGACATTCAATGTATTATTCCAAAGTTGCTATGAAATATTTGAAAAAATGACCCATTTCTTGTCATTTATTTTGTTATTATATGTTATTTTATTAGGAAATTACAAAAAGATCAGTATATATTTTCAGTTAATCAGGACACACTTGAAGTAGAATCTGTATTTTGTTAAATACAGGATGAACTCATTTTAACTATTAGTTCTGCTTTCCTATGTAAATGTCCAACAGGTTGATTATCTCTTCATTTGCACAATTCCATTGTGTTTTTACTGCAATTGGTACTTTTCTGTTACTTAATCTTTTAGGCTAATAAAGGGCCATGAACAGTCACACACAACATGAAGTCAGCAAAATGTTATCTGGTTAACATTGGGTGTTTTGCTTTTCAAAACTAAAAGAATTTAAATCAGACTCATGCTGCCTTAGGGAGAGAGCAATGTGGAAATTAAGCTTTGGGATGTAAATCTCAGCTCCACCTCTTCCTAGCTTTTAAAACTTGGATTAAGCCCACAAACATTCTGTATCACCCATCAACTGTGTGCAGCTCTTCATACTCCCTGATGTGTGCACCGCTGTGGGCAGTGTGTAGACTACCTCTTGGGTAGTCAGTGAATCCATCCGTGTGTCCCACTGAACCACAACCAAAGAATCAATTCTAATGTTGTCTCAAATGTGGACATTTCCTTTCTTGAAAAGAAATGGCCTTTCCCAGAGATGAAAGTTTGATCATCTTACTTAGTGGTGAATACTATCATACACTATGAGGAATTTAACGATCATGAGAAAAGATATACTAATGGCAAGTTCAAGGTGTTTTGTCCTGAATGGTCTAAAGTGCAAGTATTGATTGCTTAAATGATTAAAAAGTACCACTCAAACAAGAGGCCATGCTTTTAACACAGTAGTTGTTTTGAAAAGTGAGATTTAGAGGAGGAGAATGATGGCAGACACTCAGGTTGTGCCAGTCTGGGTATTCTTTGTTCCCTGTGAATCAGCAGAGTGTCCTGACTTACAGAGCTTGAGGGAAGCAACAGGTTTGGGGGTATACCACAAATGTTTACAGAAGGTTTACTATCTTCCCACACACAGCACCTTATGTCGCCCTGTTTGTGGTTTTTCAGTTTATGGGTTGGTGGGTTTCTTTCTATGCCCTTCAGCCCCTAGAGTTGTGTACTTCATGTTCCAGTCATGGGCCATCTCTCTTTAGATAGTTCAATGGGAGAGGTACCCATTAAAATAATTTCCAAGAAGAGGAGCCTCCTGGCCATCATCCCGGGCTCTACCTGGTGTTAACCTGTTAGATTGGATGCTGGCTCGTGGCAGCTGTGAGGGGAGCCAGTGGGATCTGAGATAGGAGAGAATGGTTTCAAGAAAAAAGTTTCTTACCAGCTGGTGTGAAAGTATAGTCTTTAAGCATTTTAATGCATTGCTATAGCAACTGAATCCATTGCTCCATTCAGGGGTATCACCCACAAGTAAAGACAACGTTGGTGTGGCACCGTGAAGTTCACGTGGTGTTGTGACACAATTAGGAGATCTAGAGGCATAAACTGTGCTAGAACTTTCAGGCTTTAGTACAATAAATCATATTTCCTTATTGTCTTATTTTTAGCAAAAATGGTCCTCCATGGGAAAAATTGATAGTGTTGGGCAAATGCGTGTTCGGGATGTAAGTCAAAATTAGGTTGAGAGCAACAACATAAGATGTTACAAAAAAAAAAAAAAAAGGTAGCTGGGTGTGGCACATGCCTTTAATCCCAGTACTAGGGAGGCAGAGGCAGGCAGATCTCTGTGAGTTCAAGACCAGCCTGGTCTATGTAGTGAGTTCTAGGCCAGCCAGGGCTACAAAGGGAGACCTTACTGAAAGAAAGGGGCAGGAAGGAGGGGAGAGAAGAGGAGAAGGAAAGAGAAACAAGATAATCATCGTTTATGCATTTCTATATTTTTATGTATTTCATCTTTAAACAGGTCTTTATTTTTTTTAAAAAAATCATGTTAAAAATAGTTTGTGATTCAAGTCACCTTTGCCTCTATTTTCTGCTAATTAAAGTCTGTTTTCTCAGATTATAGAAAGCAAGCTTCTAATGGCTCAGTCAGCAGGTATTCTCTGACCTTGCAAAGTGACACTGATAACATACTGCTGAGTTTTCCATTGTACCTCTTTGCTTACAAAGTAGAGATAATCCTTTTTTCTTATGTATTACACAAAGCTACAGGCACGAGCCAATGAATGAGAAAATTTTAAAAAGGATATTACTATATAAATATGATTAATACTATTTATATTTATATATGATAAGTATGATTAATAAATAATAAATAGTAATATGGTTAATACTGCTGTTTAAGTTACTATTACATTATATTATTTTTTTAAATTTTAAAATTTAAATTTTTAAAATTTTTTTAAATTTTTAAATTATTTTTTTAAATTTCTAGTAAAACCACTACCTCCATCTAGTGTGAAAGCAGAGATTACTACAAACACTGGATTATTGAAAATATCTTGGGAAAAGCCTGTCTTTCCAGAGAATAACCTTCATTTCCAGATTCGATATGGCTTAAATGGAAAAGAAATACAGTGGAAGGTACCTTTTACTTCTAATTGTTTTCTTCTCTGTCCTCTCTTCTTCTCTCCTTTCTCTCCCCCACCCCTCTGTAAATTGGAGTCACTCTGTAGCCCAGGCTGGCCTTCAACTTGTAGACCTCTGATGCTTTAGCCTCCAGAGTGCTGGGGCTAATAAGTGCTATTTAAATGTTTTATGAACACATATTAGTTATACTTTATAATGGGTTTCACTATGATATTTTCATATATATAATGTATTCTGATCATATTCACCTCCTCTTACCACCTCTTATCCCCCCACCACTGTTCCCTTCCTGTTCCTAGCCAGTCACCTTTCTCCATGTTTGGTAAGGATTTTTTCCACAGGAACATGGGCAGCTTATCAGTGGTTCTACCACTAAAGAAACTATCTCATCTTCCCCCAGCAACAGGGAAATCCTCAGGGAGAAGTGGGGGCCCTGTGAGCCCTTCTCCCTTCCATGACCAACTGTACACAGAGGTTTCTTTCCCACCCGCCAGTTCCTGAATAAATACTCAGAGACTTAATAGTAACTATAATTGTTTGGCTAATGGCTCAAGCATATTATTAACTAGCTCTTCCAACTTAAATTAACCCATTTCTATTAATTTATTTATTGCCATTAATTTATTTATTATGGCATTACCTCACATCTGCTTCTCTGGCAGCTGTATAGCATCTACCGGACTCCGCCTTCTTTCTCTCTGTATTTCTCTTTGGATTTCCCAACTGATTTTCTGCCTGGCCATTGGCCAAAACAGCTTTATTCATCATCCATTAAATATTAAAACACGTATTTGTAGCATATAGAAGGACATCCCGCAGCAACCAACCTCATACATGTCTTGTGTAGGTAATCACAACTGCTGAGAGTTAAACATGCAGCAGCATCTTATAATGTTTCAGAGTTTTGTTGTATCACATTGTCACTGGCATACAAATAGTACTCTCCTGTATCGTGTAATTGCTTTCATTACTTAGATCAATGGTTCTCAACCTATGGGTTGCAAACCTTTTCACAGGAGTCACATATCCTATAGTTACATTATGATTAATAACAGTAGCAAAATTACAGTTATAAAGTAGCAATAAAATAATTTTATGGTGGGGGGGTCACCACAACATGAGGGACTGTATTAAAGGGGTTACAATATTAGGAAGATTGAGAAGCACTGACTTAAATTGTAAAAGTTTAATCCTTGCAAGGAACAAAAATAGCATACTTGACAGGACATTTTCCCAATGAGCTGTTCATGAAACAGTGATTGCCTGGCTAAATAGGCTCAGGAAACTCTACCTCATTGTACCTTCCTGGTGTAGAGATGCAGTTTATGATATTTAAGATTTGGAGAAGGCCTTCACTGAAGAAACATATTGCATCCTTTGTTTCCACACTCACTTTTCAGGGACCCACATTTCATCTAAGCTTCTGATATCTTTCAGTATGTTCATCAATAGTACATTTTGAAAAAGACTACTTTTATTAAACAATCATAGAGTTGAGTGTGCATATGGGAAATTTTGTGTCAGTTTTTCAAGGCAGCTTGCTAAGATCGGAAATACAAGAAACCCTAATTCCATTGTTAGCACAATGACATCAGTTGTGGCGAATGTGAGTCTTATCCACTTGATTCTCTAGAAGGGACCCTGTCTGACTGCCATTTTTGAATTCTTGTCTTTGTGGTGGAGAGGATCAGATGGTAAGGATTAGCAGTAGGGCAAGAGTGTGTTTGGAATTGACCTTGCAAGTGCAATGAGTCAAAAATGGAAAGACCAGGTGTGGGAGGCAGCACTCCTCTGGCTGGCCTAACATCATGAGTTTCTGAAGTGAGAAAATACAGCATCACTCTATCTTAAGTTTGGAATAGTGTTAAGGTTTAAAATACAAGCACACTTCAGGACCCAAGGAGGCATACATATTGACAGTATGACTTCTGTTCCAGATGCATGAGGTATTTGATGCAAAATCAAAGTCTGTCAGCCTGCCGGTGCTGGACCTCTGTGCAGTCTATGTGGCACAGGTGCGCTGCAGGCGGTTGGATGGACTTGGGTACTGGAGTAACTGGAGCAGACCAGCCTACACACTTGTCATGGATGTAAAAGGTCTGTGAACACTTGTTACTGTTTCTTGAAAGTACAGAAGCATGTGCTTCAGATGTGACTGAAAACATTCCTTCCAAGAACATGTGTCCAACTTGGGCTCCCTGTCATTTTGCAGTTCCTATGAGAGGACCTGAATTTTGGAGAATAATGAATGGTGATATTACTAAAAAAGAGAAAAATGTCACCTTGCTTTGGAAGGTATTTCTAATTTCTATCTTTTATTTTATTCTGACGTTATGTTGTTCTATTCTTTGTTTATAACCCTGTCACTATTAATCTCACAAATGACCCCAAACCTTATGTTTTAATGCATTTTGGAGATGTGGTTGCTCAGAGCTAAGAATCTGGGGTTTTGACATAGTCAGGAGCCTTTATTATTGTCTTAGGTCAATTACAATTGTGCCATTGCTATTTTGGCAAGTCTTGGATTCTTTGGACTTCACATTTGGCATCTGTATCAGGGTAAGATTCCCAAATGATAATTAATGTTGCTTCAAGTCCACGATTTGATTGTGATTGAATCCTGAACAATGTAAACATGGCTTTGCCCTCACACTGTAAGCACGTAAGAAGTAAGAGAGGATTTGAGCTATGTGATGGCATAGGATAAGTGTTTTCTACAATGATGGATAATCAACTTGGAAATGCCAAAGCATCCATTCTTCTAAAGAGTGACTTCTTTCCCAAATAAATAATTTCAGGAGTAGGTATAAAGCTTATGACTTACTTAGGAATAAAATATACTAGGTAGGCCATGTTATGTTTATTATGTAAATGGGAAAGACTGTCAGGAGAATGAAGACATCATTGCAGTAAGGACTCTTCAGCTTCAACAGTAAGAAAGCAAATAGCCCAACGAAAATATAGACCAAATATCTGGTCTACATATCTAACCAAAGGTGACAGACCCACAGGAGACAAATAAAAACATGATAGGAGTCTTAGCATTGTTGGTCATTGTTGTGGATTTACAAAGTAAAACAACAGTGAGGTATAAGTCCATGTCTATTAGAATAGTTATTACTTTTCAAATTGCTGGTTGAGAATACAGAGCATCAAGAAACTTGGTTTGCTGCTCATGGAAATGCAAACTTGTGTAGCCTTGATGGACCATCGTGCTCATAGATGATTATCTGGGTGACTTGAAAACTTTCTCTACATGAAAACTTGCACATGAGTTATTCAGACCACTGTATTCATAATCGTTATTCCAAAGTGAGACTCTTCAGTTGACAGTGAAATGGTAGGCACACAACACTGCACATTTGCACATTAGGACAACAGATAAAAGTATCCAGATTTAAAAAAATCATAGACTGGAGGATTCGAGGATGAAAAACAGATTAGATTATGACCATCACAAGTGTATGAAATTACCTCACTGTGTAGGGCAAGGGAAAAGGCTTTAATTAACTTTGGAAATGAGTCTGATGTGTGGAAGATGTGAGACACTACATGAACACTTTGGAGTTGTGCATTTTTGCAGGGATGTAGGCTAGTAGTTATTACATCAGTGTATGTCTGTCTTGATGGAAAAATTGAGATGAGTGGGCCAGAGTACAGGTTTTTCACTGCTCTCTCAGGAGGCTCCAGACTAGCAAGAAAGTCAGCCATAATGGTTCTTGTAGTCATAGATTGGAGTTAGAGGTCAACATAAGCTCATTAAGGCATAGGTGGGCTCTTTCAGACATATTTAGATATGTATATTTACAGAGGCCAGTATACATGCATATATCCTTGATTTTGTAAGCTAAGAGGGCCTAAAAGTTAAGACTATTCAAGAGGAAAGAGTGTCTCAGTCAAAGAAATCAGGACCTGAGAGAAATGCTTACTTTGGGGCTGGGGCAGTAAATGTACAGGTGAGCCATGAGTATCTTTTAATATTCTTGATTCTTTGCTTATGATTAAAGAATAAATACTAACATATCAAAATGACATAGATTTTCAGATGAAATAAAACTTGTATTTCCTCATAGAAGTTTTGCTTACATCTTACTTCCACCCTACTACCCACAAGCTTGCACCCTCTGCAGAATACCTGCATCTGTGTGAATGTGTCTCTGCCATTTTTCAACTGGAGACACTTGTTCTGTCTGTGTTATAAAATTCAGCTCTTCATAGCTTTCTAAGGGATTGGCAGCATTTAATTTTCCCTGCAATAGGTAAAGGTGATTGCTTGGGAAGTGAAGGGGATCATTGGACTCTCTTTTTTTTGGCGGGGGTGAGACAGGGTTTCTCTGTGAAGCTTTGGAGCCTATCCTGGCACTCATTCTGTAGACCAGGCTGGCCTCGAACTCACAGAGATCTGCCTGCTTCTGCTTCCCGAGTGCTGGGATTAAAGGCGTGTGCCACAGATGCCCAGTGATTGTTGGACTCTTAAGAACAGAAGAACATGGAGCTGGATGGAATGGAATGTGTTGTACACAGGAATCTTTCATAACACAGTATAATATTTTATAGAAAGCCTTACGGCAGAAATGTCCAGGGCCACAAAGACTGCTCAGAGAGCCTCTGTTATTTGTTAACCTTCAAGGTTTCTGTTTTGTTTGCAAAAACTCTTCTTGCGGTAGCTAATCTTCCAAGCATATCCGGGGGAGAACAGTGGTAGATTTACTTGGGTTTACAAAGTGATGATGACTATCTGAGCCTTCTTGTTCCTTCCTAGAACCTGAGTAGTACCTTTGCTTGCTTGTTAGATGAGGAAACTTCTTACCAGTCTTTTTCTACATTTAGAGTAGAGATTCTTAGCATTTTCTATGTGTTCTTCATATTTTGAGTGTCCTGTGTTCTTACTTTATTGTCTTTAGTCTCTGGGTCTAAAGAAAAATGTAAAGAGGGGAAAATAATTTCCCTGTGCTGCACGACTCCTAGATATGTCCATGCCTACTGCATTGCTCAGTTTCAACTCCTGTTCCCACCCCAATGCCTTAACACTAGGTTGGGCAGTGCCTGCCTTTGTCTAACTCCGACTTCCTGGTGGGAATGTATAATCAGAATTCTATGAGCTCAGTTGTTATAAATGCTGTGGTCCATGTGCTAATTCATTTTTGTGTTTACTCCAGCCCCTGATGAAAAATGACTCCCTGTGCAGCGTGAGGAGGTATGTGGTGCAGCATAGTACTGCCCACAATGGGACGTGGTCAGAAGACGCGGGAGATCAGACCAATCTCACTTTCCTGTGGGCAGAACAAGCACATACCGTTACGGTTCTGGCCATCAATTCCATTGGTGCTTCCCTTGCAAATTTTAATCTAACATTTTCATGGCCAATGAGTAAAGGTAAAGATGCTGAGAAATGAAATAGTTTATTGCCCTATTTATTTATTTATTTTGAGTTTTCAAAGCAGGGTTTCTCTGTGTAGCTCTGGCTGTCTTGGAACTTACTCTGTAGACCAGACTGGCCTCGAACTCACAGAGAACTCCCTGAGTGCTGGAATTACAGGCATGTGCCACCACCACCTGGCTTATTTTATTTATTTCTATGGTGGGTCATACAGAATCCTACTATTATTATTATCATTATTATTTTAGCCTGACTGTTAAATTATGATGTAGCTTGATTGCATGACTTTTTGTGTAGCACTGCAGCTATATCATTCTTGCTCCTTCCCCTTCAATGCCTCCCATGTATCGCCTCTAAAATTCATTATCTAGTCTTTGCTCATACGTACATGTGTTCAGGGATGACCACTTGGGATTGGGATTAGTTAACCTGTGCAGGAGCTCATTCATGGAGGAGACTGATTCTTCTTCTCTGAGTATCCACTGATTTTCTGCAGCTCTTCCTCTAGGGGTGGGTGTGAGGGCCTCAGAACTGGCACAGAACACAGCCAGATACCAAGTTCTCAGCACAAAGGAGATTCAGTACCCCAGAAGGATAAGTGGGGACCAGAAGGCTGCCTCTGGATGGACAAAGATATTAACAGGTGACTCTGCAGGAGTGGTTTTTAAGGAGAAAAGGGGGAAGTCTGGTAGGATGAGTTGGTAAGCTCTGGTTGGACATGTTAGTCAGTGTAGCCAAATAATAAATCTTGTTTTGCTGGATCTTGGTGTTTGGATAGCTGGACCTTGGAGTTTTAGTCAGGCATAAGGAAGTGGCCAAATAGAGGAATTTAGAAAGTGCTGTGAACTTTAAAGAAGGGATAGGACATATTCAAACCATAATCAAAGACTTCATGAAATAAGTGACGCTTGGATAGGTTAGTAGGTGGGTAGAGACACCAGAAATGAGTATTTTTTCCATTTAAAATGAAATGGTATCTTTTATACAAAACACAGATTTTATGCTCCTATTGAGGGTGGCTCTTGGGACAGCAAGGTGGCCCTGTAGATAAAGGCACCAGCCACCAAGCCTGATAACTGAGTTAGATCCCTGAGAGCCTACAAGGTGGAAGGGGAGAACCAATTTCCACAAGTTGCCCGACATCCATACATACTCTGGCATGTTGCATCCTCCCAATTAATTAACTTTAAAATATATTTTATAGGGCTGGAGAGATGGCTCAGTGGTTAAGAATACTAGCTGGTCTTCCAGAGGTCCTGAGTTCAATTCCCAGCAAACACATGATGGCTCACAGCTATCAGTAATGAGACCTGATGCCCTCTTCTGGCCTGCAGGCAGACATGCAGATAGCCCACTCTATACATAATAAATAAATAAATCTTTAAAAAATAGTGTTGTGTTCTAAGGAAAAATATATTAGTATGTGTGTATCTTTGTGAGTGTATGCATTTGTGATGTATATTTATGGGCACACATATTATAGCATGTGTATGGAGATTGGAGCACAACGTAGTGCAGGTGATTTCACCCTTCACCTTTACGTGGGACCTGGAGATTGACATAGGGTCTCATTATGTGGCTCTGGCTGGCCTGGAACTCACTATATAGATCAGTCTAGTCTTGAACACATAGAGATCTGATTTTCTTTCTACCCCTCAATGCTAGGATTGAAGGCATATGCCTCCATGCCTGGCCAGGAATATGATTTTTTTTTTTCTGAAAGAAAGTAAACAGGAACTTGATTTTGGGTTGAGGGTAGAGAAACCATCCTGAGGCAATGGCATTGATTAGGAATCAAATTTCTTCTCCCAGCTTTAGGGTGGGGAAGTTTTAGCTTCCAACAGATGCACACCTGATCAAGTTTTCATGGCTCAGGGGAAGAGATGAATGAAGACCAGGGTGGCTTCTGCATGGAGAAACAGACACAGCAGAAAGTGGGTTGAGACATGGCTTGTGGGGCCATGTAGGCAGATAGGAATGGCCTCCTCAGATGTGCAAGTCTACCAAGGCTTCTGGAAGGGACTCTGCTGAGGGCAGTTTCTGAAAGTGTCACTCACCAGTGGGAGAGAAGTGTGTGGGAATCAGAGACTATGGTCAATAGGCTTGTGTGTGATTCCAGCAAAGAACAGTTTTGACCCTGCCAAAATTCCATTTTTAGGTCTGAGGTAGAATCGCTTTTCTTCTCCACATCATAAGCTCCTGAACTCTGCTTGTATGAGCTCCACAACATTCGTATAAATTGTCTGCCTGCTCTACCTTGTCCCTTCATCTGGGTTATTTCTCAAGGCAGTTAGTAAATTTTTATTACTCTCAAATTTAAAATAAATTCCTCCTCTTCCCCTCAGTGAGTGCCGTGCAGTCACTGAGTGCTTACCCCCTGAGCAGCAGCTGTGTGATCCTTTCCTGGACTCTGTCACCTGGTGATTACAATCTAATATACCTGGTTATTGAATGGAAGAATCTTAATGAAGATGATGGAATCAAGTGGCTTAAAATCCCTTCGAATGTTAAGAAGTATTATATCCATGGTATGTTTACAGTACTTTTCAGGGGTTAGTATGACACTACAGATTGGGAATTTAGATAATAAAGTGGTTAATGACAACCTCAAAATGCACCCACCAAGTGCTGCCAACTGAATTATAGTCGTGTTGTCTAGCCAGAATGTTTGCTATATCTCTGTGAGCATTTTTCTTTTATGTTTTACACAGATGCAATCAGATGTCCTAAACCTTCTCCCCAACCCTTTCTGTCAGAATATGTGATGATCGTATAGCCTTTTATTCTAAAGTGTTCCTAAGGTATTTATTTAGTTGAGTTCATGTTGCTTCCATCTTACTCTGAATGTCTTCTATGGTCTAATGCCAACCCCCCACCACCCACTCAGTACCCAATTATAATGCCACTAAGCAGTGAGTAGAAGGGCTATACTGGAAGTCTGAGGGCTTTGAATCTCTTGATCTAGGTCAGTGTAATCCTTCCAAGTGTGGCCAGTTACCCTGGGAGGTAAGTGTATAGAACAGTGACAGCTCCAGCAGAGCCAGAAGGCTGCCCCCATTTTACACCAGCTAGAGAAGCCATACCTTCTTTTCATCCCAACACCTAGAGTTTAGCTCCAGTTCATTATCACTGCTGTAGGTAGTTGCTCTGTCCTATAATTCAGAGGGATGAGGAATGTAGGCTTCTCAGAGCTCTGCCTCTTACAAGCTTCCTGGTCATATGTCACTATCATCTGTGAGAATCTTTGCTAGATCCGTCTTGAACATTGCTATGGGGATCAGCACTCCCCACGTTATTGGGATCCCCAGATAGAACAAGAGAACTCCTCAGTCTCCTCCCCATTGTTTGTGACTTCTGCAAGCCACTTTGAGTGGGAAAACTAAGTAAGCTAAGTTCATATAGGAAGAGACTCTTCCCTACCCTGAGGATGATGGGAGAAGGGAGAACACGCTATCCCGGAGTAGAAAATTTAGGAACAAAAGAGAAAATGTATTGAACTTGAACAGACTTGACTCTCATTGGAGCCTGTCCTTGGAAAAACAGTCACTTGTGTCTGAGGAAGAGTTTTGAAAACTCATTTGAAAGTCAACATTATCACTAACAAACTTATAGTGTTTGGGTTATTTCTGAAATCCCTTCGCCATCCTTATATAATTAGGTGTGTTGGGACAGTTTTTTGATATAGGTTTCATTCTTAGTTAACGTGAACTTTTACTGTTTCTTTTTCTTTTCAGATAATTTTATTCCCATTGAAAAATATCAATTTAGTCTTTATCCAGTATTTTTGGAAGGAGTTGGAAAACCAAAGATAATTAATGGTTTCACCCAAGGTAAAACAAACAAACAAACAAAAACCCTTGTATTTTCTTTGTTTACAAAAGTATTTGTGGATGTTGGTGGCATACGCCTTTAAACCCAGCCCTTGGGAGGCAGAAGCAGGTGGAGAAGCAGGTGGATCCCTGTGAGTTCAAGACTAGCCTGGTCTACAAGAGCTAGTTCAGGACAGGCTGTAAAGCTACACAGAGAAACCCTGCCTCAAAAAATCAAAAAAAAAAAAAAAAGAGTATTTGTGTGTGATGTATGTGCTAGTATGATGCTGTGTATATGTACCCCACACCCAAGTGGAAGCTCAGGATAGCCCTTGAGACCCTGTCCTTCTACTCCAGATTTGGGGGATTGAACTCAGGTTATTAAACTTGCATGGTAAATGCTTTCCCCTGCCCTACTTTCCTTTCTCCATCTGCTCCCTAGCTTATGCTGTCGCTGAATTGATTTCTTCCTCATAGGATCATGGAAGAGCTAGAGTTTTACCTAGATGTGCCCATTGTGCCATTCAAAGAAAAAAATTTTTTGTCTGAAACAAGATAGTTAAACTCAATGGATACATTCTGTTTGGATTACTACACTTACCCATATTTAACCTTTTTGTTTTTAAGTTGTTAAATCCAAGCAACCCAATAATGCAGTTTCAAAAGAGAAACATTTTAGTTGCTTCTAGAATAATAATTATTTATTGTCCAACAAGTACGTGTTGAATATTGTTCTAAGGACCGAAGACAAAAGGGTGAACATAGACTACCTTTGGGGACTCAGGTCTCAATGTTGTACCAGCTGTGACAGTCAGTGAATACATTATTTAAGATGCAGCACCAGGTGAAAGTCAGTGCCTTGAAGGCAAAGGCAAATGAAATGAAGACAGTTAAAATGTGGTGAGGAAAGGATGGCTACATGGTCTTTCTATGGGCTCTGGTCCTTGAGCAAAGGTCTGAGTATGAAGGAAAGAACATTGCAAGCTGAGGTGCCACGAGCCACACCCTAAGGAATGAAAATGGTAGCTGTAGCTGCAGCAAGAACATCAGACCAGAATGGCCTTTGCAAAGGCCCTGAGGCCTTAAGCAGCAAGGACACCAGTGTGAGTGGAGCTAAAAGGATGAAGGTTGGCAGGTGCCATCAAAGGGATCTGCAGGAGCAGATAGTGAGTTTATCACAGCAACTTTACTTGGTGCTCTGACTAATAGAGTTTAAAAAATGATTAGACAGAGAGGCCTGGCAAGTACATAATTCTAAAACGATGTTTTGCTAGATGTCAAGTATAATACTAGTCAAAACAGCTATTAATGTGGTCACAATGCATTTTATTTCTCCTTTAAAATTTTTAAGTTTTGCATGTCTATTTGCCTGAACATATGTATTTGCACCAAATGCATCCGTTATACCCTCAGAGACAAGAGAGGGAATCAGATTATCACATATCCTGGAACTGAAGTTAGAGATGGTGGTGAGCTGCCATGTGGGTGCTGGGAACTGAACCTGGGTCCTCTGCAAGAACAGCCAGTGCTCTTAACCCCTGAGCCATCTCTACAGTTCCTATTTTCCTCTTTTTTAAGTTTCTATATGTTTGCAGGTAATGCAGACTTTATGGTGACATTAGATTATGTGTTCTGAGGATCATTTTACAGAATAGTCTCCTTAAGTGGCTTATGGTTTGACTTGTGTCTGTCTTTCAGATGATATGGACAAGCAGCAGAATGACGCAGGGCTGTACGTGATTGTGCCCATAATTATTTCCTCCTGTGTCCTACTGCTCGGAACACTGTTAATCTCACACCAGAGGTATTGCACTTGGTGCTAAGGACTTTTGCCATAAAAAGTGTAGCTTACATATATTCAAAGTCTAACTCATAATAAGACATAATATAGCAAATATTAAAGTATTGAAACTGTCTTTAAATGTCTTCCACATACAATTAACATGACACAGAAGACGAAGTTGTTTTCAGCAAATGAGTTTTCATTTCAATAGGACAACATAAACTTGAAGGCAGAATTCAGCTTCAAAAATTTTTTCTTGCTGGGGCATGGTGACATGTACCTTTAATCCCAGCACTCAGGAGGCAGAGGCAAGCAGATCTCTAAGTTCAAGTCAGCCTGCTCTATAGAGCAAGTTCCTGGACAGCCAGGGCTACAAAGAGAATCTTTGTCTCAAAAAAAAAAATTCTATTGTTTTTTCTTTATGTGCATCCAGGAATCAAGTGACATGTAGCAGGAAATCCTGGACAGTATATTCTTAGGTTTGGCAAAATGGCTTTGAGAGGTCTATAATCTGGACTGAAGATTTTAGTGAGATCACGAGGCCTTACAAGTAGCTGTTTCATGGCAATCCAAAGCAGTCTGTCGTGGCAGAAGGCAGTACTCTGCCACTCAGAGGGCAGTGCTTCAGAAAGCTCTGGGGTATCTGGTTTGACAAATGGCCTAGACTTCCCTGGTGGCTCTTTGGGTGCCACACCACTCTGCTGAGACACCCAGATCACGGGGTTTTCTCAGACACCTCAAATCTGTAGACACTTTAGTCCTCCATCAAATGAAGGGGGAAAACATTTCACTCTGATCTTGTGCTGCGTTGAACGACTAGAGTGGCACCATATCAAGTGGGCTTGTTTCTGATAGCCCATGTGATGGATATTTAAAATATTTTCTAAGGAAAACTTACGCAAGGAAGTGAGTACAGTGCCTGGCACATAGCGTTCAGTAATAGAGGGTTGGTTGTTAATTTGTTCTTCATAGAAATTTGGTGAACACTTTGTGGAGTCAAATGTAAACATGGGTCTGGCCCTACTGAGGTGATCTGGTGGACTCATGCTGACTCTGTGTGCTTGTTAACTGTTAATATTTATTCATTCTGAGTAATTCTCCTTTGCAGAATGAAAAAGTTGTTTTGGGAAGATGTTCCAAACCCCAAGAATTGTTCCTGGGCACAAGGACTTAATTTCCAAAAGGTAATTTTGCAAGTATTTTAACCCAGAATATCTAAGGTTGCACTTTAGATACCATATGATATCCAGATCTTTAAACATCTTTAGGGCTTAAAGGGCTTTATTTTGTTCAGTTCATTTCTATGAGTCTGTTCATCATTTGTTCTTAGTAATAGCTGAGTGTAGGGATTTGGCCAGAGGAAACAAAGATCAGTTCCTTATCCCAGGAGAGCTGACAAATACACCTATCTCTTTTTCTGGTCACAGTAAATAAAAAATAAATACTACAATGGGAAGGAAGATTATAGATGGAGAATAGATAGTTGGCTAAATTTTCTTCAGTATAGATGGGCTGTCTTTAGGCGAAAAGCTTAGAATCAATATTATGTTTCTACTATTTAATATTTACAGTTACTTGCAAGTGCAGTGTTATTTTCCGATGCTATAATCAGAAGTATACAATATTATGAAACTCACAGTGGTAGAGATTTGTGGTTGAAGGAAAGGGATTCAGCACTTGCAGCATTGAAAGGTCTTAATAAGTATCATTTATTGTTCTATGTTACTGTTTACATATTTATACATTACAGACTATTGCTGCTTTTGCATTACCCCTGGGGTATTCTGTCATTGAATGTAAAAGAGAAAAACAAAGCTTATACTAGTGAGGTACCTTACTTTAGAACCAGGATTAGCTTCCCATTTGGAACTTACTCTAACTGTAACTGTTCTAGATATTGACATGACCCACAGGGAGAAATACATTTCCTCTTCCAGCCTAGCACAGATATATAGATATAGAAACATGAGAGAAAATTTGTGGGAAACGTCTTGCTGGGAAGAGAAGAGAGAATATTGAATGTTTTAAAAACTTTCATTAAAAAAATGTTGTTGGCAACCCACTAAACTGATCCTCCAACATTCAAATGGCATATGACTTGCAGACCTGGGAATACTGCATTGCAGCCAGTCCATGGACGAGCAAGCAAGTGCTCTTGTAGGCACCATGAACAGCTCACCTGGTTGAATCCGAGTCTTTGATCAGATGAAACAATGCTGTGCTTTCACAAGAGTCAGCTGTGCAGTTTTGCATTTAGCCATTCACTCTGTGGAATTTGCTTTTCCTAACACTAGTCACCTGCCTCTGACTCCTCAGCTGTGCTCTTCCAGCCTCTCACCCTGGGCTCCTTTTATTTCAGTAGTGTTACTGAGTTTTTGTCAACTCACAAAATAGCACTCTTCTTTTTTTTTTTCCCCACAGTGAGTTCATGGAGTCATATTTCTCATAATCGTGGTGGTATCTCAGATACGCACGTGCATCATTCATGGATTTGTTCAATGGGCAGAGTAGGTGTTTACAGATAAGGAGAGGTTGCTGCTAGACTCCAGGAGAACAGATTTTTAAGCACTCCTCCTTGTCTTCTAAGAAATAAGAGCAGGGTCCCAGAAGAGTGGCTAGGTTGAAGGAAGAAGAACCTGTCTCTTTTTGCTTCTGTAACACTGGTTGAGTTTTTCACTTGCAGATTCACTTGTGTATTCATCTTATTAGTTTATACGATTACAGAAAGCTTGTCCTCTGCCAGTCACTTTGCTATACCTTGGGGCTATATTGGGGAGAAGCACTATAAGTGCTCCTGGACTGTACAATCTGGTCAGGAAGATAAACACCCATCAGTTTATCGTGAGAAATCACTTCACAGCCTTGAGCTCCAGTGTGCTGAGGGCTAGGACGTGGCTTAGAGCATGGGTGGGTATGAGGGAGCATAATTAAGACAGACATTTGATCTGGTTGTGGTGGTATGCACCTGGACTACATATCCAAGTTCTTGGAAGGCAGGAGAAGGGAATTGTGAGTTCCAGGGCTGCAAAGCGACTTTGAGGCCAGTGTAGGTTACATAGAAGCACTGTTTTCATAACAAGGATCTCTGAGTTCCAGCCTCAGTGTCCTCTCAGGGTCCAGGCTAGGGGCTTACAGCAGGCAGGTAAGGCTGACTAAAAATGTCTGAGGGCGAACAAATCAGTTCATACACGCATCATTCTTCTCGCGGCCTTTTATTCATTAAAAAAAAAAAAAGTTCTTGCCAGGTGTTGGTGGTGCACACCTTTAATCCCAGCACTTTGGCAGAGGCAGGCGGATCTCTGTGAGTTCGAGGCCAGCCTGGTCTCCAGAGAGAGTGCTAGGTTAGGCTCTAAAGCTACACAGAGAAACCCTGTCTCGAAGGAAAAAAAAAAAAGTTCTTCTTCGAAAGTTTTTCTCAAAAGTTTCCTTCTTAAAAATTCTCTCAGATCCCACAAAGTTTCTAGTTTCTATACCCACAGACACAATTAGCAATTCTCTGACAATGGTAAAGATACTGGCTATGCATGTCTCTCAGAGCCAGGAAGGCAGATGAGGTCTTAACAAAAAGCTAGGAGACCTGACTTGCAAACTTAAGTCTCAGAGGGAAGGTGATTTGTAAAACTTGTAGGCAAACTTAAGAGGTGGTGAGGGTTAAGGGGCTATGGTTTCTAAGATGGGAAAAGGGGAGTAGTACATAAAACTACAGTTGTGTGGTTAAACTAGAAGTTTATATTGGTAAATGTAAAACAAGACAGAAACATTAGAAATTTATAATTGATAAATGTAAAAAAAAAAAAAGGAAGAAAAGGGTTTTGCTTTTGCTTTTGTGGTAGCTGGAAATAGCATCACAGTAGCCATGGCAACTTTCCTAGGTTATAGAAAGAAAATGGGAGTTTGATCTGTATTAGAATTTTCTCCTAACACTAGATCAAAGGGAGAGGCTATGTGAGATTCAGAGGCTGCAGCTTCCAGCCTGGGGCTCTCTTACTGCTGATGCCCTGAGAAGGAATTTCCTTTCTCTGGGGCCTTTTTGAGAATATAAAGCACCCAGTATATATTCTATATATCAAGATTATACAGCCAAATTCATAGCAACAGATATTCTGGAGGCTGTATTTCTTGCAGACTTTGCTAGTCAAGTTTTCTCCATCAGAAGTTAATTCTGATGGGTTAACACCCAGAATCTGAATTGCTACTTATGTAATAAATGACAAAGGCTCTCAGCAATTCAACAAACAACAAACATAAGGGAAAGAAGAAAGAGAGAAGAAAAAGAATGATATTTGAGTCAGATCTGGCTGATGAATAGCCATTGTCTGGCTCTGTGATGGAAGTGTAGACACCGTCACTGTCAACTGGTGCTACATTCTACAAGAAATATAAAGAACAGACTAGGAACATTTTCCTCTTTTTTTTTTGTTGTTTTTTTGAGATAGGGTTTCTCTGTGGCTTTGGAGGCTGTCCTGGAACTAGCTTTTGTAGACCAGGCTGGTCTCAAACTCACAGAGATCCTCCTGTCTCTGCTTCCCGAGTGCTGAGAATAAAGGCCTCCCCCCCCCCCCCCGCTTAACATTTTTCTCTTAAATACAAGTTTTTCTTTTTTAAATTAAAATAACCAAATGTCTATCTAAGTCAAAATCATAAAGCTTCAAGGTAGTCATTTACTGCTTCTAAAAGGAAGCTAAAACTCTCTCTCTTCCCCTAGCATGGCATATTTGGCATTTTATCTTCGTATTTTTGTGAAAGGGAATCTAAAAGTCTTACTAAAGATAGGGCATGGTGAGGCGTTGGTGGCGCACACCTTTATTCCCAGCACTCGGGAGGCAGAAGCAGGCGGATCTCTGTGATTTTGAGACCAGCTTGGTCTACAAGAGCTAGTTCCAGGACAGCCTCCAAAGCTAGAGAGAAACCTTGTCTCAAAACAAAACAAAACAAAAAGGTAGGGCATGATTAGACTGACCTCAGCAATATAGTTTAAATCTGTACCAGCAGATAATTGTTCCCCCTTTCCTATGAGAGACATGGGGGCGGGGGAGGGGGGGTGAATCAGTGAATGTCTTTAGACACTGATTTACCTGGCTATCTCACTTACCCCTTATTGGAGTCAAAAATACACCATTAAGAATCAATGACAAGACTGAGCGTGGGCCCTGACTCCATAACCAACCAGGTCATATAAAAACCTGGATTCAAACCCAGGCCATGTGACAAAGTGATATCCTTGCCATCAATTTTATATTAACATTGTGCCCCCTAGTGTGGTTAATACTTACTAAATTACACACTTACAGATAGATAAGATGATCAGATATATGTTACATATATTTTAACACAATTAAAAAAAACCCTGTAGGTACAGTATCTGAGTATGCATTTTTCTAGAGACCACATATGCAAAAGAGAGAATTGACTTTTTATTTACAAGTGAACATATGGTGAGTGTCTTTAGACATTTGAGAAATGCAGGTCAAAACAAGGTACCCTCCACAGCTTGTGGGATGTCTATCACAGAAAAGACAGAAATATTAGATAGTACAGACACTTAAGCTTTCGGACTGCCTTTGGGAATATAAAAAAACAGTGCAGTATGTGTGTGTGTGTGTGGGTGCATACCTTTAATCTCAGCACTCAAGAGGCAGAGTCAGGTGATCTCTGTGAGTTCAAGGCCAGCCTGGTCTACAGAGTGAGTTCCAGGACAGGTTCCAAAGCTATACAGAGAAACCCTGTCTGGAAAAACCAAAACAACAAAACAAAACAAAAAAACCCAAAGCAAAAACAAAACAGTGCAGGCCTTTTAAAAAGAGTCTGGCAGTAGTTTCCAGCTTAAATCAGGACTCAACAATCTACCCTAACATTTTTACCAAAAGAATGAAGAAACTTACACATGAATACTTATTTATGGATATTCATAAAAGAATTACCAATAATAATTAGAATTTGAAAAAATCCAAACAGTTTTCAAATAATAAACGAATGAACAAAATATGGTATATGCAGTTCAAGACAAAGGAATAGATAGGCAAATATATACCCCAGGACATACTGCAGAGTAAACAGCCAATGGTATTTTAAAAAATAATTCAAATTCAGTAGTTTTTTTTTAAGTAATAAGTTTTTAATCTAAAAATTTCCTTTAATTTGTTCTTCAAATCCTGATTTGAAGGAATATTACATTTTATGAATG